AATAAACAGCACTTCCTTGTGCATACATTTTTCAATAAGTTACAAAATTTTTTTCATACTCGGTTTGTGTTGAAGCATCCTGTTTTGAAGTGATTATGGGAACTGGTGCTTTCCAAGAGGATAAATATTCCACCCTCATCGGGATGGCATCCTTTCGCAACCTTTTGCGTTTAGCACCAGGTTCCATATCGAAGTCCCATTCATCAAAATGTAATTCGCAAACTCTGGAATTGGGTTTAAGTTCAACACCCGGCCTCACTCCATTTTTTTCTTTTAATTTCTTCTTGAGGAACTTGAAAACGACTTACACCTGCACCTGGCCATGTCGTATGGCACAAAGCGCAAGGTACTCTTGACATATTCTATTAAAAAATAATACGTCAATAATTAAAATAATAATTAGTTCATTTAACCCTCTAGAAGGATAAAACATATTCACTAGGTGTTGTATACTGTCGTATTGTTGCATGTCGTAAGCATAAAAGTTGTATTATGAAATTTCACACCGTTAAATAATAAAGTAATCCAATCAATAAAAGCTAAAGTAATGAACCATTTTTGGGGTTCCCACTTAGAGCTAGATTGTGATATATCTTCCAGAGGGTTAACAACTAGTATACAACTGTAGACTAAAAATCACCAAGCTATGAAACGATTCTTGCTACGTGACAAATAAAATGTTTGTTTGTTTTGTGTATTTATATACAGTATCGGTTAATACCATAGCTCCCCGATTTCAAAGTGAAATAGTTTGCCACTTATGTATGTTTATGCATGTTTCATTCTTTATTCTACAAAATCTCAGAACGTGTACATGTTTACATTTTAACAAAAGATCTACTTTATGTAAAATCTTACCACGAAAGAAGTTTACAGCTCAGAAGTTCAAATTACGTTACAATAGGGTGGCACAATGCAGCAGGATCAGCACACATACTTACAAATCGCAATGTTAAATCATACACCAATACGGTGGCACAATGCAGCAAGAGCAACAAACTCGGTTGTTGATTCACCTAGCAATAAGGTGGCACAATGAAGCAGGAACCGACTTCCAACTTGCTGTTGGGATGTTGAATCACCAGGCACTATGGTGCTATGTTCCACCAGGCACAGAACAGTGTAAAGCTGGTTGAGGACAAGCACAACATTTAATAAAAAATGTATAAATTATATGCATGTACATACATACTTACAAATCGCAATGTTGAATTACAAACCAATTTGGTGGTACGTAGCAGCAGGAACAGCAGCAAGGCGCTTTTTGAATGCTCTTTAGTCTTTATTCGGGGCTAGTTAAGGAAAAAGTATTAGTTTAACCAAAAATATCGAAAATATAATACAGATAACTTTCCAACGCAACTAAAAGTTCCGAAAATTTTGCGCAATTTAGTGAGAACGCAGGCGAATGTCAAAGTAAAAAAGGAAACAGAGAAACAGTGTTGCCTACACTATATTTCTTATTGGAAACACAAATAGGAACTAAAAATAGAGTAAGTAACATTGTAATTTATGATGGCGAATTTTGTCAAATTCGACGCCATATTGGATTACTGATATCACCAAAGAACGTAGATAACAAGAAGGGACAACTCGTTATAATTGTGGCGAAAGTGCGCAACAGGGGCGGGCCTTCTCTTTTCATCCAATCAAAAAACGCACTAGGGCAAAAGAGAAGGCTCGCCCCTGTTGCGCACTTTCGCTACAATTATAACGAGTTGTCCGTTCTTGTTATCTACGTTCTTTGATATCACCTTATTTTTATTTCACCATGCGTGAATCCCATAAGGTAGATCGTGTCTGCGTCAACCTACGTCTACGTTACGTCGTTGACTGTTTAGCTGAAATTAGTCAAGAACGTAAAGCTACCGGTACGTAAACCCGAGTCAGCTGACACGATCTGTCTTACCAAAGCGCCATATAAATGAAAACTCAATATTGCCACTGATATAATTTATATCTAGCGACCAAAATGACAGTTGGACAGCAATAAATTTTATCTTATGGAGACGGCCAGTGAGCTTTTCCAAGAGAAATAGGAAACAAACGGCCCATGGTTGCATTTTAGTATCGAGAAAGATTGCCAGAAACTCATTCGCGTGTGAACAACTAAAAAGCGATTTCAGAAATTTTTCCTGCAATTCGCCTTTCGGGAATAAAAACCTCTTTCGAAAGACACTTTCCATGCCAGGTGTGACTGCTTATGCAACTGATTTCTCAATTTGACAGCCTTTCCGAAATTTATTGCATCGAAATATATTGCAACGTCTGACACGCTCTTATTAATGAACAAAAAGAAGAAAATATAATCGTCAATAACAAGAAAATAAAAACAAAGCAGATAAAAAACTAACCAAACAACAAACATTAAACAAACTGTAATCGAAATTAAGATGGTGGTGTAAACAGCTACAATTTCAATTTAAAATTGAGTATGGAAATTGTGCAATTAGGGCGGTGCAGAAACGCCCTTTTATTAGAAAAAAAGAGTTCATGGAACACTTCTGCTCTTGAATATACTAGTGCACACATCGAACAGATGAGCTGCCGACACCGGCTAGCGTAATACTGGGATGATAAAATCGTATCGTCTTGGACTAGCTTTATGAAAATTCCAGAGGCGCGAAAAATGACATTTGACGTCAACTACAAAACATTGGATTTTGTTTGCAATTTTCTGTAGTTGTATTTAATATTAAATAAATGATCTGGCGATGAGTGATTCTGCTTATAAACTTAAGTACCAAAAATATAAAATACGTGTTAAAACTTGGGAGAAGGATTTTAAACGAAAATATTCTCGTATTCCATCTAAAGTAAGTAACCAGCTCCATATAACAATCAGCTGTATATAATTATTTTTTGTTTTAGTATGATATTCGAGAGGCGCCGCAAGAAATACGAGATTCTTACAAAATGTATTATAAGTTGAAGACTTCATTTTTGGAGGACACGTTGAATGATGTATTTGATGATGATGGATTCAATGTGTTGGAAATCTCTCAGGATGAAGGCCATTCAATTGGAAAACACCACAACAATGAAAGTCTAGAGATGTCCAGCAGCATTGCAGCATTAGTTGGCGGTAACACAGGTTCCAGCATTCTCAATGAATTCAACCAGTGTGAAGAG